CGTCTGCTGCCGAACCTGGGAGGCCCCGGAAGCGCAGCGAGGAGGCTGTACGTCGCGGTCGTGCATTCGGTCCTCCTCTACGGGGCACCGGTCTGGGCGGAAGAGCTCAAGGGGTCGGCCCAGCTGAGGGGGATGGTACACGGCCCACAGCGCAGGATAGTGGCGAGAGTCGCTCGCGCTTACCGTACAGTCTCCTTCGGGGCAGTAACCGCCATCGCGGGAGTCATGCCCGCGGAGCTGCTGGCGGGCATTTACGCGTACGTGTTCGCGAAACGGCGCGCGTGCAGGGAGGCGAGGGGTATACCCACGCCGCAGAGAATGCGCATCCATAGAGAAAGAGCGAGGGCCGCGGCCCTGGAGGAGTGGGTGGCATCCCTGGCGGATCGCAGGCGTCGCGCCGGCGAACGTTCGCTGGAAACGGTGGGCCCGATCCTCGGAGAATGGATAGGCAGGAGGCACGGTCATTTCGGGTTCCGTCTGACCCAGGTGCTCACGGGCCACGGGGTGTTCGCGGCGTTCCTGCACAGTATAGGCAGGGAGGCAACGGATCGCTGCTATCATTGCGACGACGCGAGGGACACGGCGGACCATACCCTCCGGGAGTGCCCGGCCTGGAGGGTGCAACGCCTGTCCCTAGTGGAAAAGATTGGAGAGGACCTCTCGCTGGCAGCGGTGATGAGGAAGATGGTGGAGAGCGAACAGGGTTGGCGGGCAGCAACCTCTTTCGCTGAGGACGTTATGACGTTGAAAGAGGAAGCCGAAAGAGAGAGGGAAAGAGCGGCTGCTGCCACTCCTCCTCTTCCTGTAGCTCCGTAGAAATCGGTCGCCTGCGCTAACACAAGGGCCTCCAGTAGAAGGGGGGCGTGATGGAGGAGCGGGGGCTCCTCCATCACACTGTGTGCCCCCCCTCGAGTTAGGCTCGGCAGGTAGTGGGTGGGCCCTACCTGCCGGGCATGGGAAGGAGCTCCAACAGGAGCAACGGTTATAAACCGTGTGAACAGTTGGCGCCGGTGAGAGCGGGACGAAATGTCACCACTAATCCCCGCTCTCACCTTTCATCCTGGCGCTGAGAAGGCCCCCCTAGGAGTTTCAGTGGGTAGTGAGGGCATCTCATTAGTGCCCTCGAGCCCCACATACCCCTCCTTCCCCCCGGGAGGAGGGGATGCGTAAAGGCATTTCTCCTAGTAAAAAAAAAAAAAAGATCAGGACAAGGTCAGGTAATCAATGTCAGGGTTAGGTCAAGATCAGGTCCAGGTCAGTTCCAGGACCAGGTTCAGGTCATGTCCAGGTCAAGTCAAGGTCTAGGTCCAGGTCCAGGTCATGTCCAGGTTTAGGTCCAGATCAAAGTCCAGGTTAAGTCTAGGTCTAAGTCAAGGTCCATTTCCAGGTTAGGTCTATGTCAGATGCAGATCCAGATCCAAGTACAGGTCCAGCTCCAGGTCAGGTCCAAGTACAGATCCATGTCCAGGTCAGATCCAGGTCAGATCCTGGTCACGTTCAGTTTCAGGTATAGATTCAGGTCTAATTCGACGAAATAAGGATCAATTTTTTTTCAATAAAATCGACCCGATTTGCTCAAAATTTTTTTCGAAAAAATCGTCCAGATGCCCAAAATTGCTATAAACGTTCCAAAACCTACTCTATAGGTCCCATTCCGACAAAATAATGCCCAATTCGACACAATACGGCTAAATTCGATAAAAAAGGGCCCAATTTTTTTCCAAAAAATCGACTCGATTGGCCAAAAATTGCTATGATCAGGCCCAAACCGACGTCATAGGGCCAATCCGATCCAATAAAACCCAATTCGATAAAATAAGGCCCAAAATTTTTTTTGAAATATTCGAGCCCAAAATTTTTTTCCAAAAAATCAACCCAATTGGATCAAAATCGCTATGATCGGGAAAACACCGACTTCAAAGGAGCCATCGACTTGTCCTGAACCCGGACCTGGAACTGGACCTGGATCTGGACTAGGAACTGAACCTAGACTTGACCTGTACCTGGACCTGCTTTGGACCAGGGCCTGAACCTGACCTAGACCTGGACCTAGACATGGACCTAACCAGGATCTGGACCTGGTCCTGGACCAGACCAGGACCTAGACTTGAACCTTACTTCGATCTGGACCTGGATATGGACCTGAACATGGACTTGATCTGGACCTGGACCTGAACCTGGACCTGGACCTGTCGTGGACCTGAATTTGAATCTGGACCTGAATCTGGCCCTGGACTTTGACCTAGATCTGGACCTGACCAGGACCTGGGCCTGGAGCTGGATCAGAACTGGACATGACCTGGATCTGGACTTGGACCTGGACTTAGACCTGATAAGTACATGGATTTGGACCTTTCATGGAAATTCACAACGTGCATAACGTCACAACTGAGAATGATATTACGAAAGAGTCTACCTCGTGGCTTACGGTCCCCTTCGTTCCGTCTCACACGGAGAGATTTAGAGCATTACGCAAAAATAAAGGCGACATCAGAATAGCTTTCCACAGCCCTAACAAGATGAACAAGTACATCAGAGTCCAAAAGGACACTTGTCCTCGTACATCAAAAAATAATGTTGTCTACAAGATTCGATGCAATAATTGCGATGCATCTTACGTCGGGCAGACGGGCAGAAAACTAAAAACCAGAATTGCGGAACACCGTAACCACATTCGATACAAAACGTCTACCCGCTCCGTTATCACCGAGCATAGACTTCTTTACAATCATGATTTTCAATGGGACGATGTTCAGATCCTTGATGAAGAACCTTCTTACAGAAAGCGGCTAATCTCTGAAATGTTACATATCAAA